AGTAGTGGAAATTGTGAAAGAGCATGATCATAGGAGGTGGGAGTTCACCCGAGACATGTGAGAATATATGTGTGTGGAGATATATGAGTGAAAAATTCATATGGTCGGGCTGACACCATGGAACATTCGGTGCAGCATTATATGAGACTATTACCATGAGACACTCGGGCAGTCTGACAAGTCCCTAGTACCCATTAGAGTACGGTTAGGAGTCAACGATACCTCTATCACAAGTGTGTGAAGAGGGAAAAATCATAGTCCGTAGGCAGAATAGATTACCTTTGACTGGGTATTTTTATCTCTAAAAGTGTACCCGGGTCAACAAGTGATTAAACCAAGAGAGCCTATGGTTTCATGTCGGGGAGCATTGGAGGTTTAGTGGTTAGATGATCATGCTAGTATAAAATTATGAGTTTTGTTGAGAAGAGATACATATATATCATAATTTTTGATATGCTTGATAATACTATAGTTTTGATACTTTTTCATGGTTATTTATGGTAATAAATATTTAATGAGCTATATTGGTTACTAAGATGTTTATCTTACCCCGTGGTTATATTTTATAGGTGAAGGCTTCAGTAAGGGCAAGGGGAAGGAAGTGGCATTTGAAAAGTGAAGAGTACCATTATATAGCTCTTCCCTTTTCTCTTTTTTTGTGTTGTAATGAATATTGTCACTAAATATTGCCAACTTAAGAACATGACATTATTTAGATATCACTTGTATGAAATTGTAATAAGTGTGTATATCTTGGTTCAAGAACGGTGTTATGGATTAGGTGTGTGCTTGGCCAAGTTGCTTACAAGTGATATATATATATATATATATATATTACAAGTGTTTTGAGTGTCAAAATGACCAATTGATTGATGTGTTGAATTTTGTCCATCCCATTGTGTTTTTGTCCACTAGGGGTTTGGTGGTCATTTTGAGCGTTATTGCTTAATTGTGTGATATAAATGGATTGTTATGTGGTGTGTGGTCAATTTGAGGTGGTCAAGGTGTTTTTGAAGCTAATGACATTATGTATTATGAGTTAGACACCATAGTGTGTGTTTTGTTTTCAAAACAAACCACTTTAGGTTCGGGTATTTATCTTTTAAACAGATGATTGTTTGGGTGTGAGACTGGTGCCATTAGCTAGAGGGATCAAAGAGCTTCATGTGGACACTTGAATCGCTCAAATCGGATATCGAATGGCGAAACGACGTGCTCCGAAAGTTCAAAGAGATGCCATGACAGCAGGTATGCACCATGGTGCAAGAGGCCCTTATGGGATTCATCCCTCTGTGCCATCCACCGCGGTAGGCGTGGCCTGCACCACGATGAACGAACCAGTATTTGCTGAAAAATGGTGCTTAAGCTAGTTTGTTTTCCATGCTTCTGTATTTGCTTTTAATCAATTTTTAACCATGGTTTGAGCTCAAACAATATATTAAAAAGGGTTTTTTTAGGATCCTAATGTTTTAACTAATTATCTTTAAACCCTTAAGTTATGATAACTTCTTTCGAGAATTTTATTTAATTTGGGTTATTACAATGATGTGTGAGTGTTGTTCTGGTAATGTCAAGGTGAACATTACATACGGTACTAAACCTCCTCCACCCTGCCGACCATTACTCTTCCTAAAACACCATCGCTACTCTTCAAGATCCCCCACTTACTCACCCCAAAACCTGCAAGCACCAGCACACCAAACCAAAACACACTCACCCATAGGCTCAGCTAATGCCAAGAAAAGGATGTCACTGATGACATACTCCACTGCATGGAGAACCCTCAAGGAATGAGAGAAGGGTTGAAACCCTAGCAGAGCATTCTCTACAGTGAAGATGAACACAGGTTAATATGTATTAGCTAACAAAAACAAAAACAAGTCTAGGCCCAACTTCTTTATGATGTTATGACTATATTATTTGTTATGATCGTCGGTGGCTAAATTCTTTACTATGAGCAGCAAAATTTCTTTTGTTCAAGAGGACTATCACGAAGTTGTGTAATAAACTCTATATTTACCGTTTCACTGTTGAGAAATGATGATTTTATGATTTGTTCTTGTGCTTTCTTATTGTTGTTTAGTGATTGGTCACTACTAAGTAAGTTTTGGATATATGGGGAAGAAAACTCAAATAGCACCTTGAAACAAGTAGCCTCAAATTAATGTAGTTAATTTTGCTTTTAAGGCAGGAATGCATCTATTGAATTTAAGTAATCCTTATGGGTTTTGTTTTTCATTGCAATTAAATGATTAAAGTAAGGAATTACTTTTATTGGGTTATTAATTAGGATCTTTAATTAGTAGTTGGAAGATACTTTTGATCAATTTTGATTCCTTATGAGTGTTAATTTTGAGGCGTATCATATGCATAACATAATTTATATATCACTTTTATGTTTAATTTTATTCTTTTGGTAAGGATATCATTTTTTTTGTTTTAAGCATAACCATCATGATTATGAAACTCTAGTTGAGATTCGTAAAACTTGGACTTTGGTGTGTTAAATTATGAAAGTTGCAAAAAGCATGCACAAGATTTTATTTCGACCAAGATTAGTTTTGAAAACTTTGTGATTTTACTGGAAACATTATTGGTATGACATTAATTACACTGCCCATATTATATACTTACGATAATGTAAATTTGACGATTATTTCTAAAATTTTTGATGAGATAGTATCATCTTTTATTCCCACGTATTTAATGACCAAATATCTTCAACTATCATCCTACGACCAGATGATAATTAGGGTAAGAAAAGAAGGTAACTGAATCTCCTTCACTGATCCATCATTGACACCATGGGTGATATTGGCTACTTCGCTGAGTCTTTTTTTTTTTTTTTGGTAATTTTGTTTATACATGATTCCAGTCACTGGATATTTTTGTTCACGACGTCTTAGTTTTGATGAGCTCGGGCCTGGAAAAGCCCTTTTATGCAAAAAGTATCTTGTTAGAAAAGTCCGGCCCGAAAATTTGTAAACTCAAGGCTAGCCTGTGGGCTTCAAGTTTTACATATATATATATATTTTCAATTTTTCGTCTTTTAAATAAATACGCAAGATTAATTACATACTTTGATAATAATAGGCAGCAAAAACTAATATAACCAATTATAAATGCAAATTTTCTGCTAGCAATTGAAATCACATCATAAATTATTTTGGTTTTAGTAGTGCAATTGAGATTGAATGAAGCTATGAATTACGAGACCAAGTAAGAGAAAGAACAAGAAGTTGAGAGCAGTGAGAATATATATCAATCTTGAGCTCGCAACCCTCGAATTGAACAAGGGAGTTACAATCAGGTCTCACATAAAAATAATTAATTACTATAAGATCTAGTAATAATTGAATTAAACTGTATTAATAATTAATTATATTGTCAACACAATTTAATTCAATTATTAATTGATCCTACAGTAATTAATTTTTTTGTGTGAAACTTCAATATAATTTTCCCCCTAAACAAACTTAAATAGGTTGGCTTGATAAGTTTTACAGAAGCAAACCCCACACATGCATATTACTTTATCTTTTTTATTATTTAAATTTCAAACATGAAAATCATATTTTTATTTTTTATGTTTTAATATTTACAACTCCTGTCTCATTCAACTATAACGAAGGTAAGTATTGAAAACAATCCTATTCAAAGACGCAAGTGTATTAGAAAGTTATTTACTTCAAACATCTCTTATTGCTTATGATTAGCCTTCTTTTCCTTTGAAAATTTAAAAATAATCTTTCAATCAATGAGGAAAAAAAATCATATTTTAAGATTAACATACATAAATTGATTAAGCTTGATTTTTTTAAAAAAACAAAACCACATCATGTTATCACGCTATCATTTAAGATTTTTTAATCTCGTCCCGTTTCACAAGACCCGACCAACTTTAAAACGGGAAGGGACACAGGCTAGAAATTGCATTTTAAAATTTATCCTAATCTTGTTCCATGTGCATCCCAACTTCTGATATTTAATTGGAGACAACAATCTCTTTAATCAAATATTGTAATGAGATATCTATTTTCAAGAAAAAGAAAAACACGTGATTGTAAAGATATATATAATAACGGGGTGATCATTAGGGATGTTTACAGGATGAAACGAGACCAAAATATTCCTGTCTCATGTCCCATCCTGTAAAAAAGATCGGAACTGAATTTTTATCTCGTGTCCCATCTCGTTAAGAATCGGGATGGGATCGAGACAAGATCAGACGTTGACGTCTCATTGTCTCGATAAATTGGACAATGTCAGAGAAAGATTTGAATAATAATATTTATTAAAATTTTAAATTATATAATTTATTAAGTTTAAAATCAAAACAACATAAGTACATAAATCATAATAATTTAAAATTAATTATTAAATTAAATTAACCACAACTATATATTATAATAGTAATTACAAGTAATCTTTAAGATATAAAAATAGTAACAACAGGTAAATCAAGCATAACATTAAATCATTGTTATTCTATTTTAGTTAAAATATGCTAAGCCAATTAATCTTTTGAAAATAAAGCAAAAAAAATGATATAAATAGAAGTTATTAAATAAATAGATATAAAAATAAATTAGATTAATTTATTTTTATATAATTAATCTATTATAAAAAAATATCATTCTGTTTACTTTATATCATTAAAATTATTAATATAAAAAATTTTAATTTTAAATAAGAATTGCACATCTTAAAATTATAATTGATATAATTAATATAAGTATAAATTATATTAGTATAATTAGTATATTTACTATATATTTTAAAATAAAAATAATATATATATATATATAATACTCAAGACAGGACAGGATATCTCGATGATAATTCCATGTCTTGTTTCGTCTCAAACTCTTTTTATGTTCTGTCTTCCAAAATTCCATTCCAATTATTTTTAAGTTAGAATAAAATCCAACCTGATATAATTGATACGATATCGTATCAATTGAAATAGATATAAAGAACACCTATGGTAATCATACCCCGCAAACGTCACATTAAGCAACATGGTATACCCTACCGCCAGACCAGCCACCTGACCCATCTGCAGAATCAAAATCACGCGCACATATAAAAATCAACAAAAAAATTGTTTGTCAGTTCCATTTCTTTAATATTTCATCAAAGACACAAGTATATGTAGATTCCCAATAACGACAAAGGATCTGTGAAAATATTTAACCAAAAAGGAAGAAGAAGAAGTAGAAGAGATATGAAATTACCAGCCTTTTATCAGGGGCCAAACCACTGGTAGAAAACTCAACAAGCATGATGTAGAGGGTGGTGATGAACTCAACCGCAAAACCTTGAAGATGCGTCCCAGAGAGTTGTGCTCCTGCCAAGTGGCCATGGCTTCCTGTGAAAACGAGTCTCAGTGTCCCACTCGCAATATGGATGCCACCACCTGATTAATACAAGCTGGTAGTACCTGTAACATCAAATCAATCATAACAATTACAAACCAACACATGCACAGTCATTTTTGGAGGCTCCTAAGAAATATATATATATATATTCTTCAATTGGTCGAGAGTAAAATCTGTAAAATCGAATCCATCATTAAACCGATTATAATATTAGGTCACAGGTTAGTGATTCAATCAAAGTTGAATTGAGGATTGAATTGATGGCAAACTGGTCATGATTAAAATAATATAATTTAAATAAAAAGACATTAATTATAAAAACATTCAACCAAATCCAACAACTCAAAAGTCTAACAATAATAAAACACTATATTTTTGGACTTAACATACTCTGTCTCTAATTTTTCATTTTTTAACTTTAATTTCACTTTTTTTGTTATTTTATTTTTGAACTCAGAGCTTTGAAAAATTTAAAATAAAAAAAATAAAAAATGATGTCATTTTGGGGGTAAAAGTCTGAAAAAATAATAACTGGTTAATCCAATCAACCCACCAAGTTATCCAGGTTATACTGAGTTGAACTTGGGTTGATCGGGTTACACCAATTCACTCTCTCACCAGGTTAAGAGTAAATCCAGATCGAACAAGAGATCGGATCACTGATTTTTGAGTTGACTCGACTGGTCCGGCCTAATTTTCAATACCATGATCAAGAAAACTAGACTAATTCCTTTTTAAGACGTAGAAGAGATCACGAAAGTCAAGAGTTAACTTTTGACTCTTCCGACAATTTAGGTCTGTTTGAATATTTACTAGAAAAAATTGATTATAAAAAATTAATTAATATGGTTAATTTTAAATATAATAGACTATGTTATATGGTACACCACACGTGTTTGTTTAAGCTCTTTCCATGAAAAAATTACTTATTTTTTTAAAAAAATCTATTACATGAAATTTTATGATATTTACTTAAACTTTTGAAATTAATTAAAATTTGATAAAAAAAAAATATGCCTAATCATTTTGAGACTTTGAGTAGCTTCCCGAGAATAATATAAACATAAAAATATTATAAAAGTTTAAAATAATAGATCATTTTGTAAATAAAAGTCTACAAATATCATAAAATCTAAATAATGACAAAATAATAGTCATTTTTAGTATAAATTAAATCATGGTTTTGGGTTAAAAATTGATTTGTTATGTATAAGAGTGTTTGAATACTTATAAAAACAACTATAATTTTAGGTTCATAATTATATTGATTTTAGTATGTACCCGGGGGTGTTTTTGATAATTTCAAGAAGACCATTATTTTGATTCATAATTGATTTTCGTATCTAATGAAAATGTTTGGATATAATTTTAGAAAACTATAATTGACTTTTAAAATTAAAAATGATAGTTTTGCTATCCAAACATGCATCAACAATGTTTTAAGAGGCTTAACTATCTGCCAGGTGCCGAACCTTGTGGTATGCATACATAAAATTCATCTTCTGAATCAGACAAATTTCATTTCATATAAGAAATGGAAAATGAAGGCAAGGTTGGTGACCTGTTGAGGGGAAATCGTCCCGTAGCAGCAAAGGCGAGAGTGACGGCCGGATTGAAATCGGCACCGTAGATATGACGGACGGCGCAGACAAGAACCGGAACGGCGAGACCCCAAACTACAGCAATCCCAGGAAGCGATAATTTGTTGCCGTACCCCTCGTCCAACACCTCCGATGCTTCTCCGCCAAACATCAGAAAAAATGTCCCCGCGGATTCCGCCACCAACTGTAAATATATAATCAAACCCGACAAGACAACCTCAGATAGATTATCATTTTGTGGACGTCAAAAGTCGGAGACTTTAAAGAGAGGGAGGAGGAGGAGGAGAGACCTTCCGCGAGAAAGGGGCGGAGACAGAGATGCAGGAACCTTCATTATTGTGTTGTTTGTCTTCGACATTCAGAACGGCATAGTGGCAGGTTCCATTACTTCCAGACGCCCCATCAGCCATCACTGACTGTCACAGATGACGGCGAAGCAACACAGAGAGAGAGAGAGAGAGAGAGAGAGAGAGAGAGAGAGAGAGAGAGAGAGAGTTGGAGTGGTGGGTCTGAGTGTGAGAAAGGAAGGAGGAAGAGGCGCCAATTTTTAGGCATGGAAGAGTGCAAGAAGTGTAGGAGACGATCGAAGAGGAAGAGGATAGAAAGTGACTCATACATGCAAAATGATGAGAGGAAGGTTCGCCGGCGACAAGCTTAATTGTGAAGGAGGGAAGGGGACAAGGCAACGCCGATGGCATATGATATGAGATGACGTCGGCTTAGATAGTACTAAAGCTGTCAATTAAGATTAACCTGTTGAGCCAATCTTTTTCAAGCCTAAAAATAATTAAAACTGAGCCATTATTTTAGAGCAAAAATGATGATTCGAATTTAAAAAGATTAATTCTTTTAAGTTTGAAAATAAAAGAATTGACTCTTTAGAATTAGAGCAAGTTTTTTTAAGCCTTTTTGTTATTTTTCAAAAGTTTTAATTTAAAAAATAAAAAATTAAATATATAACTAAAAAAAATAAATATCTTAGACTTATTCGTCCTTTCCCCATTCATTCATTAAAATTTAATTAATAATGTTAGTCAAGTCTAATTTTTATTGGTATTAATTTTAATTTACTATTTGATATTAAACTTTAATATTTAAGTTTTTCATATTTGTTGCTGTGTGATTTAATTTAAAGTTATTTTTTTCAAACTTAATGTTACGCATAATAACTTTTTAAAAATTATAAAAATATTTTTTCATAATTTTAAATTAAAAAAAATAAAAAAATAAGGTCGAGGCTATGAGGATCAGCCCTTTAACCCTAATAGTTAGAGCCAGGCCTTTTAAAATAGAGTTCTGAGGTATAATTAGGCTTAATAGTGTCAACCTGTTTAAGCTCTGGCTCTTTCAAGGTCGGTCCTTTAAAATTATGCTGACCTTAATTGATAGCTCTGGTTAGCACCAGAAAATGGGACATGGGACAATTTTGGAATTTTGAGAAGTAACCAGGCATATTTTGATAAAAAAATTTGCTCCCCCAACCGTTTTGGGAAGGTCAGAAACAATTTCCTATTTGGCTGGAAAATTGGTTTTAAAGACCCAATAATCATCACAAATAATTAAATTATTATTTTAAAATTCTTAAAATATGTGTGATATAAATTATTTTTGAAAAATAAATATAATAAAACGGAAGGAGTAATTATTAATTTATTGGTCAAATTAGACAACTTTTTTAAAATTGCATATACTAGTAAAATTCAAGAATTATACTTTATATTTTTATAATTTTTGATAACTTCTCAAATATACTCTTTATTAATAAAGAAGAGAAAATAAAATTTATTTAAGAATGAAAAATAATGTTAAAAAATTATTATTTATAAAATTTTATTTTTAAAAAAATATTTATACTTTAGGATATGACAATCACTTCAAACAATATTTTATAAAATAATAAGAGGGAATATTTTGAAGAGTGAAAAGTTTCACGCATTGGTGGAGTTCTGTGGCGCGAATTGACCACATGCCATAAATTACCAAGATGGCAAGACATATGCTACGCTCTATTCTTAAGCCTTATTTGGTATAAAAATATGAATTTTAAGAGATTGAAATTGAGATTAAAATTAAAATTAGAATTAAGATTTTAAAAATATGTTTGGTATGAAGTAATATTTAGAGAGAATATTTACATTAATTTTTTAAATTCATTAGAAATGAGCAAAATACCATAATGCCCCTTATGGTTAATAAAAAATAAAGTCATTAAGATGACCAGCGCACAGCTCGAGGATACGGCAGATCTGGAGCTCTGTACTTCAAATCTAGAGCTTCTCGGCGATGGATGTGGGGGAGCTGGAGGAGAAGGCGACGAGTAAGAAGACAATCTCGAATGCAAATTCAACACCAAATCAGATATGAACATGTATACATCTGCACAATTAAGGGAGGAAGAAGACGATCCTGTCGCAACCTTTCATTGTTGTTGCTCTGTTCTTGCTCACCTATCATCAAATCTAAAAATGTATTGATCTCACACATCTCCCAATCTGAAACAAGAAAATGAATTTTGCTCGCCCATCGTCGTTGCTTTTGTTCATGCTTCTGTTCTTTGCTTTGCGATGCCAGTGAAGGAGGAAGTCGTCTACGGCAAAAGGAAGTTGTCGACGGTGAGAGGATGTTGTCGTCTGAATCATCCATGGTGAACGTGTTTGAGCAAAAAATTCTATAGAGAATGAGAGGGGTCAGATCTAGGCATATCTGAAGAGGGCATTTTGGTTAATGATAATTTCAATCCCAGGATTAATTTTGCAATATCAGGGAGATGGTGGGTTTGAGTATTCCCACCTAAGTGGGACCAAACAATCTCAAGAATTAGTGAGTGACTCATACCAAACATGTTAAATGTGGGATTACTCAAACTCAATTCTAATCCCAACTCTTGAATGTTACATATCAAACAGGGCCTAGTTCTTACCACAATATGATGCCGCAAACTGAATCTTGGTTTTTACTTTTTTTTATACAATCTTGGTTTCTGCTATTATTAAGAAAATTTATTGAATAAAACTATATATACAACATGTATAAGAAAATAAAAAAGCAATTGGATCAAGCTTTTAAAAAGTGAAAAAAATCAATAAGTATGATCTACAACGGCGAATCTTGGTTTCTGTTACATCAATTTTCATTTGCAAGACTTATTCTGACCAAACTTAAAACTTGATTTAGATCATACCAGGTTCTCTTTATTTAAAAAGATTTATATATATATATATATATATGCTGCCACATAATGGAAAACACAACAATTCTTATAATTTCATCAAAATTTATTTTTAATTTTTTTAATATTTTTAATTCCTATAATTTTTAAAAAGACTATATAACATTTGTTTTACAGGTCTTTATAATTTCAATTTTTCAGTATTTTTAGTTCATACAAGCACTAAAAAATTACAAAAATTAAAATAAAAACCCAAAAAAATTATAAGAATTAAAAATTATATTTTTCCAAATTTTAAAAACACAAAAGGCCCTTCATTGATAAATATTAAGGATGCAAGGAGTGTATAATAAATATTACTTCATTTGATCCTTATTATACGGCCTTTTTTAAAAAGATTTTTTAGTCCTTGATATAAAGTATATGATGAGAATATTAATTATATTTTTTAATGTTACTCATATTTAAATTCACAAACACTATGAGAGAGAATATAGTTAAATTTAGAAATTTTTATTTAAATAGGTGTAAAATTAAAAATTTATTATATTTTCATATAATATTAATGACTTAATTAACTCTCTTTGATTATGGTGAAATAGTTAGAAGTGCCTTATAATAAAAAATAAAAAGAGTATATATTATATTATAATGAGAATGACTAGAGGAAGAGTTTGATATGCATGGTAGTAGGGTGTACATTCTAGGCATAATAAATATAGTATGTACAAGTTTGCATATCTTTTTTTTTTATTTTAAATTGAAGAATTCAAAGTGAATCAAATCTCTTCAAGTAAGATTTAAACCTTTGACCAATCAGTTAATGGTCAACCACTACTCTACCATTAAGCTACTGAGAAACTACAAGAAATTAGATCTCATAGAGTTTAATTTTAATTCTCAACTCATAGCTATATGAGTTTGAAATTTCCTTTCATGGCTTGTGAAACTTCTTCATAATGATTTCGTTCCATGCCTCATTTCATAGGGAACTTCAAAATGGTTTTATTTCATTATAATCCATTCATATACTAATTCCATTCAATTAATATACTTTTCTTAAATGTAATTGAAATAAGAGATGTCAATTCTAGCAAGTAATGTTTCTTTACATTATTGTTGGCTTTTATGAAAGTACAATTACCATAAGTGGTGAAGCCAGAACTTGAAGCTAAGGGGTGCAGGATAATTTAATAAAAAAAATAATGCTTTTTTAAAAATAATAATTATACTATAGGTACTATATAACTAAAATTATAGTAACATAAATAGATTGAATAAATTTTTAAATCTAAATATTTTTTATTTACTCTAGAGGGGGCAAAGTATCAAAAGTTTTTAATATATTTTTTTGTGGAAAAACGGGAAAACAAGGGAAAGCACTAACTACCTAAATTGTCATCAACAAGCCTATGGTTCCTATCAGAATAAAGAAAACGCATTACAGTGAGTGTGGGAGACGTCAGCACCACAAGATCTACACCTTGTGTTCGAGCAACTTTCGCTAGAGCATTTATAACCTTGTTCACTTCAGTCACACAAGATCATGTCCACCAACCAATCTCGACTCATTAAGGCTCGTATCTCTTGCATGATGTCGTCGTCCCAGTTCACGACAGCGTCCAAGTTGTACATAGCTTCCACTATTTCCTTACAATCACATTCCACAACAATATTCCTCATATTCCATTCCCAGGCTAGCTTAAGGGCCCAGAATATCCCCCAGGCTTTTGGTGTCAAAGGTGATCCATTCCCAATTCGATACGTGAACCCTCTTATAAACTCTCCTTGGTTATTCCGCACTAAACCTCCACAGGCACAGATCCCTGATAAAGGGCTCACAGACCCATCCACATTAAATTTCATTGTCCCCCAGTCTGGTAGTTTCCATTTGGTGTACTCCAATTCCTTTCTCCGTACAAGGTCACTCTCTGCGACGTTCCAAGACAAGCAAGCACGAGCACGGGCGATGGTAACCTCCTTTTTAGCAAGTTTATGTTGAAACACCCAGTCATTCCTCGCAAGCCATATGTTTCTGCAAAGTACTGCAAACCATAGGCGTCTTTCATGACCACGAACCTCCTTCGAACTCATAATGTTCCTTTGGATCCAAAGCATGGTGTTGTGATCTTGGAAGAAACTCCGTCGCCAACTCTGGGGAAGTAGAGTAAGCCAAACTTGACGAGCGACTAGACAATCACTGATAGCATGCAAGGTCGATTCTTCATCCTTCCTACAAACCCCACCATCTCCAGACCTATGCATGCCTCTCCGCCTTCCAGCTTCATTTGTAAGGAGCTTGTCATCGGCCGTTAGCCATAGATACATCTGACAGCATTCAGGCACCTTCAATTTCAACACTTTATGCCAGAAACCACCATTAATCGTGCCTGAGCCTCCCTTCAGGTAAGAATAGGCTGACTTAAGCCAGAACTGTCCATCATTGGACCAGCGCCATACTGAAAAATCCGCTCGATCCACACCATGGATCCTTGTAGTGGCCTCCAATATACCTCTTGGAAGAAATTGTTTGAACTTAGGCCCATCCCAAGTACCTGAGGTGGTTATCCAGTCTACTACCACCCATGCTTTGGCAGACTGGGGAATCTCACAAGACGCAACTGATTCAAGATTATTAACATGTGGAAGGTAGGCATCGCTCCAAAACTTCACCTTCTGTCCATTACCTAACCGCCATGCTGTACTCTTCTGGACTTTTGACCAACCAGCCAGAATTCCTCTCCAAGTCTGTGACGCTACACAACGCTTTTTCATGGTAGGAATCACATCCGTTATCTAATATTAAACTATATATTTTTTTTTAATTATTATTACTTAACATATTAAATTTTATGTTATTTTAAATTTTTCATATTTTTTAAACATTTTTAATATATTATATTTGTATAACAAAAATTATCAATTATCATAAATCAATGTCTTTTTTTATTTTATTGTTACATGTTCAAACGTACATTTTAAAAACACAAATTATCATTAATCTAAATAATTTTCAGTTGATTAAATTAACTTTTGAAATAATATATTTAAATATAAATTTCATTATAGCAGCTAATTTTTAATAAACTAACTTTTATTAAATAAATTTTTAATAAATTAAAAATCAAACTCACGCTTAAATTGTCGAAGTATAGAGTTAGATTATAATATAAAATAAAATATAAAATACACACGGATTCCGATGAATATCAGGAAATCTTTTTAAGCATGTCCAGAATTCTAATTTTATACTTTCTGCTGTTTGAAGAGTTCATCCTCACAATTAAGAAATGGTTCAATAACCTGTATCGAAAAAGAAGAAAAGAAGAAAGGGACTAAGGGAGATACATAAATAATCATCCCTCTAAGCCCCAGGTAGGATAATGGAAGTTGAAATTTTCTGATTTGTCAAATATTTGCAAAATTCAGAAATACTTTAATAATCTCTATATATTAATCACTTTGCATAAATAGATTAAGCATTTTTCCCCCAAAAACACTCTTATTTACAACTTTTTAATATTTTTCTTTTTAAAATTCATTCTTTTAAATAAGAAGAAACTTAAAAAGTCATTTCATATTTTGACTATTTTAATAATGTAATGACCTCTCATTAATTTAATGAGTTATTTTTGTTTACTGAAATTTTAATAAAATAATTAAAAATGGCAATATTTTCAAAGCTTCACAGTGAATGAGAAGGTCCATTCAATCCATCTTGCTAAAGAAAACAGAATGAGGCAATAAATACTGGTTGGCACGGGTTATTAATAGGCATGTACTCTCTCCCGTCACTCGAATAAATCACTTCTAAGTTCTAAATATTTCATCAATACTGGTGAAAAAAAAAATATTTCATCAAAATTAAAAATAAATAAATTATTAATTTTATCAGAAAAAATAAACTTTTAATTTTACTCATATTTAAATAAAAAAATTCAATTTCAAATACGTATTATATTATTTATCATAATTAATGAGTTTAAATAAGAATAATATTAGAAAACTATAATTAATACCCCATCAAGTATCTTACTCCCTCCGTCCTTATATATAAAATATCTTTTAAAAATTATTTTTATCCCCCAATATAAGAAGTTATTAGTATATTTTTTAGTGAATAAATCAATATATCCTTATTAAATTAAAAAAAATATAAAAATTGTCATTAATTTACTTTGAAAGAGAAATTTATTTTTTATTTATAATAATTATGAACAAAATTAAAATATTATTGTACTTTTAATTAAATAATCAACTTTTATTAATTTATTTGATTCAGTTAAAAATATCCTATATATAAAGAGGAAGAAAATAAAATTAGAGACTATCAATTTCTTATAGAAAGTACTTAAGAGAACACATTATATCAGATTCAGAAATTTGACTAGCTCAAGTTTGGTATGCTGATATCAAACTAGTCCAATTTGGCACAAAAAACCAAGAATTTAAAGAGTCAGGTTGAGATCAGAATATGGAGTCCATTCCAACCTCCATTTTCTATTTTAAATATACCACAAAGGCATATTTATATAAATATTATAGTTATGTTACTATTAACAGTAGTTGAGCTGCTATTTTGCAGCACTAAAGGATCCGTCCTCTTGAAGCAATGACGGTCAGATTGAAAGTAGTTAACACATCAATGTACAGGAACCAAAACCCAATATGAGATGAATTCAAAAGATTCAATAGATGTCCCATACATAAATCTGGAAATGTAGATGCAGACACGGAATTAACATGCACATGAATAAGCAGGAAAACAGAACAATGTCCAAATGTAAATTAGTATCACTCATTATCTGACACGTCAAACATGATAGTGGCAGTGCTTAACAACTATCTTGGATTCGATTTGCTAAGTTTCCTATCCAATGCTAACAAACACATTATATGTGCTCAGATACTGTTAGCAATCCAAAGACCAAGCAAATGGAAGTAACTGGCCTTTATTATGTTCTGGAAGATTATAAAGATTGGAAGAAAATGGAAGAAATTGTGGCAGGCAGCATCACGACAGGCATAGCTACTAAGTACATTCAATGCAAATATAACTTAAGCATGAAGAAACATAAATGCGATCAAATGATAATTGAAATACAATGTTAGTGTTTTTTTTCAATACTTGAAACCAACATTCATTTGTGCACTCGTTGGAGAACCATGACATGGGATCATACATGACCTGGCACCATTCCAAGTTGTTTATGATGTATCATCAAAACCAGAGTTATTATTCAATTAACAGTGATGCATGTATGACAGGGCTATAGGGATCAAATTTCAGGATGAGCACTTTAATTTGCCTCACTAGCATTAGGCTTTGCCATTCCAGAGAGACCAGAAGCAGAACAAGTTGGGAATTGAAAAGGAAGAAATAAACCGGTAGAGTGAAAAACCCTAACCCAGTTCTGAGAAGATGAAGCAAAATCCTTGGCAAATGCAGTCCTACAAGAGAAGATACGAGGTCTTGAGGTGTGAGAGGGCATTGCATTCCTTTGTTTATTTTCTCTGTAAGCATGGTAGTTCAAAAGACAGCCTGAGGAACTTTAGAGTCAATTGTCATAGGAAATTGATCTCTCACAGCGACTACTGAAGCAGAATCTAGTATATTCTTAATTAAGTATGGTACACCAACTAGCAATTTGGGACATTTATTTCACGAAGCTTGTGCTCTTACAGATTCTCCCTCAAGAATTCCAGCTTTGTGCTGGTGACAGCTATCACCTCACCAGCAAGTCCAATAGCTTACAAGTTCGAGAACTACTACAGTTTTACAAACTAGAAATACTTGGAAGGAACCTAGTTAAGATTTCACCGCTTGAATAAACGAACAAATACAGATTAACTAAAAACATCAACAACAAAACGAATATTCAAACAGAAGTTCTATAATTGACGAAAGAACTGACATGAAAGACTTGATCAAACACTTCCACAGAGTGTTTAAAACACCTATCAGTATACTACTGAAGAAACTAACACAAATTGCTATCTTTTTTTGGCTAACGTAGTTTGGATCTGAAGCAGAGCACAGCCTTATTAAAATAAATAGAACCAACCCTTACAAGACTACATATTCATCAGTTGCCAGAGACCAGCATGCACAGCTCGCTGTCTTCGAATGCCACGAGGTCCCCCATCAATGGATCAGTCTCATTCCGACCTTTTGGCAAACCTTTCGACCTTATCGTCCAAATTGAGACCAACCATGGCCTCACCCAATCCACAGCTTACTTCAGCCAAAACCTCTGGGTCACTGTAATGTGTCACAGCCTGCACAATCGCTCTCGCCCTTTTGGCTGGGTCACCACTCTTGAACACGCCAGACCCCACAAAAACCCCATCACAGCCCAATTGCATCATCAGCGCTGCATCCGCCGGAGTTGCAACCCCACCGGCGGCGAAATGCACCACCGGAAGCCTACCCAGTTGCTTAGTCTGCATCACCAAGTCATAAGGAGCAGCAATCTTCTTGGAAAAAGTGAACACTTCATCATCATCCATGTTTCTCAAAAGCCTAATGTCTCCCATCACCGACCTCACATGCCTTACTGCCTCAATGATATTCCCAGTCCCTGCTTCCCCTTTGGTTCGAATCATTGCAGCCCCTTCACGAATCCGGCGAAGCGCTTCGCCGAGATTGCGGCACCCACACACAAACGGTATGCGGAAATTGTGCTTGTTGATGTGATTCTCGTCATCAGCGAGAGTGAGCACCTCACTTTCATCCACATAATCGATACCAATAGCTTCAAGAATTTGAGCTTCCACGAAATGCCCAATACGTGCCTTCGCCATCACAGGAATCGTAACCGCTTGCTTAATCTCTTTGATAAGCTGCGGGTCGCTCATGCGGGCGACACCGCCTTGAGCACGTATATCGGCGGGGACGCGTTCGAGGGCCATGACGGCGCAAGCGCCGGCTTCTTCGGCGACGCGAGCTTGCTCGGCGTTAACGACGTCCATGATAACGCCACCACGGAGCATCTGGGCGAGACCAACCTTGACGGAAAAAGGAGACTTCTTGGTCTCCGTGAGTGCTCCATTACCATACACAGTAACGACCCCAGATCCTTCCATTTGCAGAGAGAGGACGAAGAGTGAGGAAGGGATAAGAAATGTGTAGATGCGATTCGAAAGCCCTCAGGAGGAAGCAGTTGAGAAGAAAAGGAAGAGGATGGCGAGGGATTTTGGGTACCAAAAGAGGTTAAATACAACGGAGAGATGAACCTATGGCTTTGACGAGATTTCAGGGCCACGCATTGCACAGAAATGGGATAAAAGAAACAAATATTTCAATTTTTAAGTTTTTTTTCTGGTTAGAATTATTAATTTTCTTTAATTATTTTATTTATTCAAAAGATTTGGATTTGTGTGAATGGCCAAGGAATATTTATCTGCGTGGTTAAATTAGATTCATATATATTCATAGATAAAATATTATTTATAAAGCATAATAGTTTTTAAATTATAATTGAGGTATTTTTAAAAGATGGCATGTTACTAACATCCGATATTTATATAGGGTTTGTTGGCAAATACAAAATGTATTTTCTTGGGGGATGATTGAAAAAATGTCACTTAAATATATGTAAATGATAATGAAACCTTTTTTTTCTAAGAGTTTGCGACTTTTGTAAAATGACTATAATTTATTTAATTTAAAATATCTTGAATAATAATTAATTTTTTTTGGTGATAATTAAAATTGGATAATAAATGATAAGTTTTTCTTTGCAATATTTTTATTATTAAAATTCAGGTATTATAAATATCAATGACTAATTTAATTTAAATAATAATTATTTTTATTATGATAATTATTAAAACAAGATAAGTAATTACATCTTCCCTCCTAAGAATATTTTAATTAATAAAGTTCAAATGTCATAAGTATCAATAATTATTTTGAATTAAATTATGACTATTTTTTTATCAATGATTAAAATGTGATAGTAAATGACAAATTTCGCTCTATAAATTTTTAAATCATTAATCCATTTATTTTTTATGTTACATTGAAGGCATTATAGTCATTCTACAAAAAAAAAATATCATAAATTTTTTATGAGACTTGAGAAGAATTATTAAATTTCATAAGACTTATGTGATTTTTCCTTTTTTGGATATACCTAAATGTACTTTTCTATGGTCCGCTTAAATTAATTTAAATTTGAATTTAAATTTAGTTTAAGTATCTTATTTAAATACACAAAAATTAATCAATTTGAATTTGAATAATTTTAAATTTTATTTATACTATAATTATTTAAAATTTCAATCACTTTAAACATTTCATTCTTTTTTATTTTTATTATTAATATATTTATGAATTTCATATCTTTTTATATTTCATTTTTTTCTGATCGAGTAAAATATAAAATAAACTCATTATTCATAATTTTTAATTTTCGCTTGGAATATCAATTCATTTAATTCATTCAAAAAATTTTAAACTATTCAAACAAAAATTTTAAATAAAATAATTTTTAATATGAGATTTAAAATGTAAAATTTTAAATATAAAATTCAGATTCAAATGGATTAATCCAAGCACAATCCTAATGTATTTACGTAGAGTTTGAAATCAAATTGTACTCTTTTGGCCCCAAAAAAAATTCAAATTGTACTCTTCTAAGTTTTCTATATATATTTACCTTGGCGACCGACCAGCAAAAGCCATCTATCAATGCGCGCGATTGGTTTCAGTGCCGGACTCATCTATGCGCGGCTAAAAAGTTTTTTTTTTTTTTTTCCCGTTTTTAGCCAAATGCTGCCGTAAACGGTGTCACGAAGAATGATAATGTCAGGTATAAAATATTTCCTCCAATTTTATTTATAAATTATTTCTATTAACCTTATTAATATTAATATAATAAAAATATAAAAAATAAAATGTAATAAAATTATAAATATAAATTTTAAAAAATAAATAATTTATATAATATTATTTTTTTATTTTTTAAAAATAATTTAAATATTTTATTTAAAATAAAATATTACTATTAATTTAATAATTTATAAAGTAAATTATTTATTTAAAAAAATGATAAATAAAGTGGACTGAAAGGGGTATATAACAATTGTTTTATGCCAACTTTATCGTAGGTTTAGTGCATTAATTGCCATGACGTAGTATATGGGATGCATTTCACGAATTTATAACTTTTTCTAAATTTTATATGACATCTATTGTCTCTCATGTACTAAGACTAATATTATAGAGAGATGTTGAACAACTTGCAGCGGTAGAGTTACATGCAATTGAGAGAGGACATATCCCCCCACTTGAAAAAAATAACATATTTGAGAGTATGAGTTTTTTTATTTTGTAATTTTTATTTTTTATTTATTATACTTTACACCCCCTTATTTTTATATTTTATATTTTATATTTATTTAAATTTATTTTTTTAGCTCAGATCTATTTAAATTTTTAACTTAACCTCATGAATATTAGCCCACAATTTCACTATACTTAAATATCAATATTATTTATTAACTATTTAAAAAATAAAAAAAATTTAATATGACTAAATAGAATCGCTCCTCGTCCTGAATACTATTCAAGAACTAGTTAAATAAAAGGCAATGATAAATAATAAAGATTCAAAACTCAAGAGTAAATTGGGTGAATGTTTTTCATTAACTCGCTGTATTTACGAATCTACAATTGAAAGCTGGATAGGAAATAAAGAAAAAGAAAGAATAAAAGAGAAATAGTTGATTTGGAAAAGACAGAAATATCTTTCTTTTACTAGAGATTCTAGATTCATCATTGTCCTTCCTAACTTAAGATCCTGGTTCCGCCATTGATAACTTGTGTTATATATGTTTCATATTTTATAAAATACTCTCTCAATTTAAAATGTAAGGCATTTTTAATCAAATTTTAGTCTAATAAAGTAGTTACATACTTTTAAATTAATTATATTTTTTCATATTTACTCCTATTAAATACCCTACAATAAATATAAAGTCATTCATCAATAGAGATACTTCTAAAAAGATAATAATTATATTTAGAAAGACTAAAAATAATTATATTTTTTAATGGAGAAAGTATATGTTTTATATTTTATAAGATTCTTATATAGGAAAAATCACCATAAAATCTCCCACAACTATTCAGAATACCCAAAATCTCACCAAATTTAAAAATATTTGTTAGATGCCTAGAGACTTGTGAGTGAATATGATTGAAATGTTCATGACAAAAAAAAATGTGATTAAAATGATAGTGACCAAGATGCTCATATTATAAGATGTCAGGTTATCAGCTTAGCAATGACCTTTCATCACATATAATATAAATATTATATATAATATGCGTTGATGATGCGCCCGCGCACACACTATATTTGATGAGGTTTTGGCCATCTCTTTAGGGTAGGGTGAATAAGGGTGGAAATGAGTTAGTTCAGATTAAATTTTGACTAAATAAACCTGAATTTAAAAGGTAAATTAAAGATCTAAACCTGAATTAAAGTCTGAATAAGGCTCTTTCCACAATTCAAGCTTGAGTTTGCCTAAAATATAACATAGTCTAAAAATTTATTTAAAAATAAGCTCATATTTTAATTTTAAATATTTTAAATACATTATAAAACTATTATAGCATACAATATAAAACTTGATTTATTAATTATGATATATAATAATTGAAAAAACTTACTAACTATAATATAATATAATAATAAAGTGACAATATTAAAATTAATATATAAGTTCAGTATGGTTGAAAATATAACTAAAAATAAAAAAAATAGATTGATTAAAAATTAAATGATAAAATTAATATTTTTATACTATATAATATGTGTGTGTAAATAAATTAATTTATTAGGCTCATAGATTGAGTCTTAAAAAAATAAATATAATCTATTTAACTAAATAGACATATTTATAAACTTAAACTTAACCTCTAAATAAAAAAGTAGGTCAGGGTTAAAGCATGTGAGATTATAGGTTTTTACTAGAGACTTAGCTTATTCCCACACCAAAGCTGAGGGTGATAGGGCCTGGTAGTTCTCGCCACTTTATATTAAAAAAATAAAAAAAATATGGACACAAATCTCGATTTAATGAAAGTCGACAATTAAATTATTCATCCCATCTTGTTATTGCGTTATTACTCTGCATCTGTGGGCAATGTCGTCATTCACACTCTGATTGATTCCCATCCGAAATGAGATCAAATAAATAAATAAACAAAATATTTCTATTATTGTTTATACAAAGATTCGGATTGTGCAATTAAAGATCGAAGAGAAGACAAGTAATACTATATGTATATCATGTCACAAAGGAGGCTGCAGGTTTTGATTGAGTCAAAATTATACAGGGAGTAAATTATATTAAGTTAAAATTTAAAAATTTAATTTTAATCAAGTCAAAAATATAAAAAATAAAATATTAAAAGCTTTTAATTTTTAAAAATTATCTTTTAAAAATTTAAAAATTTTTTTGGATAACTGTTTTTGATTTAATAATTTTCAGAATTGTTTTCATTTTTTGTTTTTAGAAACAAAAAAATATAAACAATTTCAAGTTATTTTAGTTTTTTTTTTAATTTTTAAAATACACTACCAGGAACAACCTATAATCATCACTATTAATCTATTTTTTAATTCTAAAATTACTATAAAAATTAACATAACCAAATGGATTTTTATTTTTTTTATTTTAAAAAATAATTTTAAAAACTATTTTATAAAACATTTTTTAAAAATAAAAAATGGGAACAAAAACCAAACAAACCCTAATTTTGCCTGTCAAAGTCAACAATTGATTTTAAGTATTATAATTTATAATTTATTGATGATAGGATAACTTATGTATTTTATGATAACATTGAATATTGATTTGAAATAGGCTTTAAATTTTTTTTATATAACAAATAGTTTAGATGAGTTAAATTTTAAAAGCTTTTCAGGGTCAAGATATACATCAAGATTCAAAGAATACTTACAAAAATATTTACAAAATGTTACTAACGAGATCATCACATGTACAGTGTTAATAAATTTAAAAATTTTATTATATATGAGCAAGTTATAAATAAGGAAATAAATAGACATTAAATTTTCCAAAATTTATATAACTACCAAATCATTGTACCATGTGCAAATACACACATATCAAGGCTGGGCATTAATATCATAGTGTTAACGGTTAGTTGTTCTGACGATAACACCACCCCCCT